TCCAACAAGATGGTGCACCGCTGCACTATGTGGCTTCAGTACGACAGTTTTTAGTCACCCATTCCCCGAATCAGTGGATCGGCAGATGAACCCCGAAGTCCTTTAGATTACTTTCTCTGGTGGAATTTGTAAAACTCAGTTGTTGCGAAGCCAGATTCCATTCAAGATCTTCGTCAGCGGATTACGGCTGAATGTAGACAAATAACTCAAGACATGCTTGAAAATGTGAGGAATAGATTAGAACAAAATCTTTATTATTGCTCCATGCAAATAAATGGACACTATAGCAAATTAATATTTACTTTGACTTTAATGTGCGTGTAAACTGTAAGTTGTTTATTTTTTTTAAACTTGCAGATTGTTTTTATTTTTAAAGTTTGTTACTAAGGGAAGTTCAGTGGAATCCACTTATAATATAAACCCATATATAATGGACACAATTTAAGGTCCTATAAATAATTGCATGTAAAATCATCGGATATTATAGACTGGCTTAAAATAGACCCTCGCTTATAGCACTATTTTAATCCATTACATGTATAAGTTCCCCGATGCAGATTTAGCTGATGCAATCGTTTACGACGCAATACCTTGATATTTTTCTTTCTACTTGCATTTTATTTATATAGTCTCTCCCAAGACGGCAATTCATATGGATGTGGAAAACTAGTTTTTGCGTTAGAGCAATCGTCAAAAAAAAACTAATTAATCATTGGTCCTTTGAAAGTATCACTGGATTTTGGAGAAATTATGACTAAGTCTGTCTGATGGTACCAATATTATAACAAAAAAATGTGTAATTCCCCAAAAGTTGACTGCATTTTTTTTTTCGTTTCTGATGATTTTGAACGCAATCAAAAATTTCGTTAGAGTAGACAAAGTTCAGAAAGACGTAAAACTTTGTTGATGTATTTTAAGACGTAGTCTTAAGTTTATTTGAAGGAAAACTAGTTTTTGAAATTCTAATCACCCAGTCACTTTTGTATAACTTTAAACGTAACGCGAGATATGGAATTTGAAAATATGTGGAGTGGAATATAAGTTGATAGATCGGGAAACTGCGTTGACAGATCGGGAAACTGCTAGTACAATATGTTACCTAGAAACGTCACAAAACGATCAGGCTAACTGGCCAAATGTAAACCCCGTTTTAAGGGAAATTGTACAGAAGGATTTAAATATTATTTACAGTGAATGCAAAGGCCTCTCATATCGAAATAAAAAATTCTGGGTACCTCTTTTATCAATCTTCAAAGTTATACGCCTAGAAGAATTGCGAATTCAAAATGGGTATGTCCAATTCGTTACAGTTAATTGGTTATTGCAAAAAATCGTTAATTTTTTGCCGAAAAGTACATAAGAGTAAATATGAAATAGTTTCCAAAAGTTAAAGCCTTTGTTGTGATTAACATCGAAAAAACTTCAAAACTTCTCAAGCTATCCAGCAAATTAGACATACAGAGTGAGTTTTTAGTATCTAATTGGACAATATCTCCTTTTCTATTAGACATAATCAAAAACGTTATTTACAAAAATTGTGGACCTTCTTGGAATATACCGCTCCCTAAAGGGTGATCCATTCGGAAATAACATAGTTTTTTTTAAATGGAACACCGTACATCTTTTGGTATATTCTAATATGCCACTTCAAGGGGAGAAGTTTTGATATAGCCCGGGAGAACGTATTTATTAATTCCGGAAATAATTTCTCTTTGTCGATATTTATTCGTTGTTTTTCTACTTACTAGAAATTTCGTCAATATAAAAATAGTTTTACAGATGTAGAAGGATAAAAATGTAGATACCTAATTTGTTCTAGAATGATTGGTAAAACAAATTTGTCTTATTTTCACCACTGACCTCCGAAACAGTAAGAGATACGCGTCAGATGAATTGTGGCAAAGTTGAGGATTTATATATTTTACAAAATACATTTGAAAAGTTTTGACACAAAGTATGAAACGTATTCTCCCATAATCGTTTTATTTTTATAGGATTTTTCGTCTCTTCTAATCTAATTATCCCACCATGTAGAAGAGAAAAAGTGGTAATATTATTGTGTAATTTGTTTGAAATTTGTAGATAATGTGGAGGTTTGATAAGTTTTGTTTTGTAAATATCATATTCGATAGAGTTGCAAAAAAGTTTGAGAAACATGCGTGTCTGCGATATTCATTATTACATGTCCTGCCAAAATTTGGATAATAATATCTGTTCCTGCCTGGAGCGATTTTGGGAGAGCCAAATAGGTGTTGATGATACAGAATGGGCATTTTTACAGTAAAAAATCTGCGTATAAGCTAACCGCTGCTGAAAGTCTAAGGGTTCGGAAGAAATTTAGGTTTTAGCGTTACCTTTGTCACTTTTTCGCTATTCATGTCCCTAAAATGCATTAGGCACTATAATATATCGCTACTCCTAAGTACAATTGTCCAAGCAGTGCAAAAATGTCCTCCAAATTGATGCATTTGAAGGTAGCTCCAAAAGCAAGCACAATCGTACGCGTCGTCATAGGAGCACGTGACGTGCATACGAGGTGAGCAAGATAATTATACTCGTATGTATGCTCTGTATGCGTATGAGTCTTATGCTGTTGCGCTATTGCATTAAGTAGTTCTGCAGAGTACATACGTTCGTATCTGAAGCTATTCGTACACCTCAATTCAAAACAAAGAAGCCTATCGTGTACGGTGCGCGCTACTCCCTGAAATCTAGGATTTTTTTAGGAAAAGTTGAAGAAGTGCGTTAATGAGTTCTCGAGGAATCGAAGTACATACATATCTGGTGCAATCATCAGAAATCAGTGACCAGCATTCCTACACCCCAGCGTAGCCACCATGCGCGCTGGACACCTATTGTTACAATCTGAGAGATATGTTTTCCATGAAAAGTTGAAAAGGTGCGTTGATGTGATTTTCAGATTTCAAAGTACACAACGAGAGCTATTATAATGAGTTATCAAAAAGAAGTGACAAACAGTTTTACACCCTAGCTCCAAACAACCTCTTCAGCTTTTCATGGAAAAAAATTTCCTCAGATTCCAACGATAGGCGTCAAGCGGCAGGCTTTTTTCTTTGGAGCTGGGGTTTAAAACCATTTGTTAATATTTTTTGAGAACTGATTATCATAGTTCTTGTGTACTTTGTACCCTGAAAAACACATACATCAACGCACCTGTTCAACTTTTCATAGAAAAAAATTGCCCTCAGATTGCAGCGATACGCACCAGAATTGTACCTTGGTTCCTGGAGAACTCATTATCATTAAGGCGGTTCCGACGCAGTGAGTTTCAAGCTAGTTCAGCTGTTCCGAAACTGACACTCCATTTTCAAATATTTTTGAAACAAAATCACTCAGCATGTTCAGAAGACGATTGAACAGGGTGCTATCGGAGACTTTTTGAAATTTTGTTTTTGCACATGATCTATGGTGGGTTGAAATTCCTACTTTTTTTTGATGAACGCGATTTTTTAAAAAAGTGCCTAGTGGGAAAAATGAAAAAGTGGATCGATAGAACCCTGTGGGGTTTTGTTCTCAACACGCTGTAAAAATTTCATTCGAAAATATTCAAAGCGTCAGTTTCGAAGCACGCAAACCTCTACAAATTGGATTTTGCACAAATTTTGTCTGTTTCGTGCTGCCAGCCCAAGCGACGCGGCGGTATGTACGAACTAAAATTCAGATAATGTGGTGGCCCTATTTCATATAATATCGTGTATATAAATCTTTCCGCAAATAGGTGTTCATAATCGCGATGGCTGATGCGAAGTAAATGTGAACTGAACTGAACTGAACTTATGCCCTGGTTGTCTCTCTGATCTATCTATCTTACAGTGGTCAATAAATGAAACCTAAGATGGTGAATATACTGATTTCCTGACGTTTAGGCTGCTTCGGCAAATCAAAAATTTTTACTCCTCCATCTTAAAGCCGTTTTACTTCGCACGCCAGTTATGTTTTTAGGCCTTATATGACATCTACATCACGAAAAACTATATCACTCATTTCCGCCTGTCGGTCTGCTGATCTTTTGCCCGTCTATGACTTGAAAATTACCTCTCGGATTTTTATGAAATTTCCACAAGGTTGCTACTATGCAAAGCCTTGTAGTTTCAGTCCAGTGGCGGCCGCGCTATAGGCAAAAAACAAAAAAATAAAAGTTTAAACTCCGATTTTGACTTTCAGGGGTTCCTAACCGTTGTCATAAAAAGTAGAGGTTAGGGGAAGCCTAAAATATTTGTTGCATCTTTGATATGCGAAACACGTTCTATTATTAAGGCGATGGGTGCAATGCTCTGGTGACAGGAATATCGGCTAGATCTCAGAACAGGTTCGAAATGATAAAAAAAACATTGTACACGCCCAGTTGAACATGGCGTGTTCAGTTGGACCCTTGGATGTTGCCAGTCCATACCGTGATCGCATAGCGCAGACAAGGGTGATTCGGATGCATTGTTTCTTGGCGTACCGGCGATCGGTGGGCGACGATGCATCGGAATGAATCATCCCTGGAAGAAGGGAGAGCCGAGACGCAACCAGTGTTACCATACCTAGAGAATTTTCCTTATATCTAGGGAATTACGAGCAAGCTTAGGGAAAAAAGGAAATTTTTTAAATTTGTACAAAATCTAGGGAATTCTAAACTCTGTAAGACAATTTTAAGATGCAGGGGCAAAAAATTAACGAGAGATAGAGAATAAACTAAGAAACAAATACATTACTTTTAAAATACCTTCCGATTGTACCTATAAAATATGATTCACAATATATTAAAATGTAGGAACACCAAATTGTATCAACAAACCGGATGGGAAATCAACTCATAACATTCGGGGAATTACTAACGAAACACTGTGGTTCCCCGTCGGTGATTCCTCATCGGTGATTTCCCGTCGGTGAATACCAGAACGGTATTTTACATACGGGGAAAGGGAAATACCTGGGCTATAATATAATATATAAACCGCCGGGTGGTTTCTGTTGCATTTCCTGCTGTTTATATGCAATTGTACGGATTGTGGAATGTGCTAAAACTGTGCCTTAGAATAACTATTGTTTTTAGTTTGTGCTCTAAAATTATTAACGAATAGTCATTAACGTTTTTCGACATTGACCTTATTTGCCATAGGTAAGTACCTATTTATTTATTACAAAAGCTTTTCCAATTATTATACTTGATCGGGGAGGTTCTTCAGAGTTTACGCAGAAATTAATTATCTAGTATTAAAGTTAATGAAAAAATACTTCTATAAATTAATGAAATATTGATATCTTAGACATACATATTATAATATGTATATCTATGATCTATGTATTTTAAACCAAACTTCTAAATTTGTTTTCTATTGTTTCTTTATAATTACAGATGTTACATCATGTCCTCAATTACACCTCAACCATCAACTTCTAAACATGCTGATGAATTGAAATTCTCACAGTCTTCTGAAGAAGCGGGACACATAAGAAAAAATAAAAAAATTGTTAAAGTCCTATACTCAGAAATATACGGCTGCATGGGAACAAGAACCTGAATTTAAAGGTTGGCCGAGGAGCAGCAAGAAAGGGTCCAATTATGCATTCTGCAAGGCATGCAATAAAGATGTTATATGTGGCAAATCCGAAATCCAGAAACATTCTTCAGGAAAACAACACACCAAATTGGTAAAATCTTTACACATACAAAACTTTGACGGATATGACATCTTATACCTATGGAAAAAATATCTTTAACTAACAAAATCAAAACTGCTGAAATTCGAATTGCAGCATATGCAGCTGAACATAACATTTCATTCAATACTTTAGACCATTTATCAGAAATTAAAATAAATATAAATAAAAAATCATTTGACGATTCAGAGATTGCTAACAATTTCACATGTTCTCGCACCAAAGCTACAGCTGTTGTCAATAATGTTTTAGGGCACTACAGTTTTGAAGATTCTATTAATTTATTACAAATAAATAAATTTTCATTAATTGCTGATGAATCTACCGATAAAGGCGCAATTATACATTTAGCTTTAGTGGCACGTATTTTTTATGAACATAAAATTACTGACTGGTTATTTGGTATATTGCCTGTAGCAGATGCAATGGCAGAACTCTAAAACACTATTGTAAATTATTTTTTAAAATGTAATATTAATTATAAAGAAAATCTAATAGGCTTTGCATCAGATAGTGCAAGTGCTGTGATGGGAATTCATAATTCATTATCCACCAAACTAAAAGCCGATATTCCTAATTTATTCATTATGAAATGTGTCTTGTCATTCATTGAGTTTCTGTGTTAATTATGCTTGTGCTAAATTACCAGATGAAATTGAACAAATGGCTAGAGATACATATCTATATTAGTTTAAAAGACAAACTGAATTTGCAGAATTTCAAGAGCTTGTAGCAGTAAAAACTCATAAAATTTTACAACCCTCTCCAACAAGGTGGTTGTCAGGATTGCCTGTTGTAAAAAAAAGAATACTTGAGCAATATGATGCTTTAAAATTATATTTTACAGATCAGTGCTACAATAAAAAATGGCATTCAAGCACAAAACAACAACAAAGGTATAACAAACGTCTTAACAACAACAAATCGTACACGACCGATACACTTCCAACAGTAGCGAACAGAATGAATATGCTGAAACGTGGCATCACGGCGAAGTCACCTCGAATTACGGCCAATCATCTGCCGCGGTGGGCGTGACCAGCGAGAGGCGGGTTTCTCTCAAAATTTAGACAAAATAGCAATGATATCTGGAAAACCGTCTTAGCAAAAGTTTTTTTCAGCAATGGTTTGTACTGCTCTTTTTCTAAGTCTAGAGTAAGTTTCTTTTTGTAAACTCAGTTTGCTCTTTCGGAAAAAACAAAAGTTTTTTTGAAAAAAAAATGTCAAGAAAAATGGTAATATCTCAAGGTAATCTACTATAAATGTGGAATATCGTCATACAATTTTAGAGCTACACTGTTATTCGTTCTTAAACTAAGACTGCAGAAAAAAAGGACAAAAAAAGCATTTTTTTATAAAAAATTTGCTAATATTGCTTATCAATCATCTCTTTATACAGCATGAAAGTAAATAATTAAAAATACTCGAAACAGGCTGATGAATAAAAGGGGCATATGCTCTTAAGAAACTTCGGATGCGAGTAAGTGACGAAAATCCGTCGAATAATGTGCTCACGATATGAAAAAAATCGGTTCCTGCGTTAGATGTTTGACACCGAGAGCCAACAGATCTGCAACTGCCGACAGTAGGGAAGAATAGATTCAGATATTTATAATGGGGATTATTAGGGCTAGACGGCCAATCGAAATCCGACAGTTATTATGGAAAATTACTCCGATACGCGCTTGCAGTCATCCTTTCGTTTTTCAGGGAGTGGCGCACACCGTACACGACAGGCTTTGTTTTGAGTTGAGGTGCACGAATAGCTTTAGATACGAACGTACGAAGACTGCAGAACTACTCACTACAGTAGCGCAACAGCATAAGACTCATACGCATACTATATATATAATTATCGCGCTCAGCTCGTATGCACGCCAGAAGCTTCTATGAGAAACGCAAAAGGGCACCGGTATCGCACGCCGATAAAACAATATGAAATATGGATTTATTCAGTTCGCTGTAGAACCTGCTTTTGGAGCTACCTTCACATGCATCCCAAAATGCGACCTCATAATTCGTTAGGTAGATATTTCAGTCCTAGGTCGAACAGTTCGGCCTGGAGGCACGCTCGAAGTTCATATTTTTTACATTTTCACTACATCTCTCCCTGTAATGCATTAGCCCCCATTATATGATTATTTAAAAGCGCAATTTGTCCAGGAATTGGAAAATGTTATGTTTCCATTATTTTATTGGTTTGAATTCGCATGCCTCCCGAAACAAAAAATCCAACATTTTTTTCCGTAACGAAGAGAAACCAACCTATCGGCCTATACATATAAGCTGAATTTCGTATTCGGGCCTTTATATCGGTTATTTATCTGGAAAAAACCCATTTGACTATTGACATAATCTAATACCTTCCCAAAGAAACTAAAACATCGCCATTTGGAAGACACTTTTAATTCCTTAAACAATCTTACTTTAGATGATCATATATTATGAGCCTGATGCCTTTCAAGAATAGGAGTAGCAAGGAAATGGAAAAGTTGCATTGCATTTACGAAAAAAAAATTATGGATATTTTATTATAAACGCTAAGATTTATATTTATATTAAAATTTGAACTGCGTTTTCTAGACCGAACCGTTCGATTCAGATCCCTAAAATTTTACAAAACTTCATGTCTCCAGAAAAAATGTTTGATCTATAGGGTAGGATCGCCTAAGAGTACGCGTTCCATAAGAGTACGCGATCGCCTCGCGAGTAGTGTAGTGTAGTTTTGCTGGCAATTTTTAACAAATGCGTAAAATATATGCGGAAAAAATATTATTTCTGAAATTACATGTCATATTTTAAACTTACTGGGTAAGTAATATTTAATAAAATCGTAAATTTTTATAAAAAATCGTAAATATGTCTTAAACAGTAATGTTTACAGTTGATCTTTAGCGACATAAAATAAAGTTTTTGTGGTTGCCTAAATTTGTTACTCAGTGTTTAAATTTTTCATGTCAAGGTTCCTAAGAATACGGAGGCAAAGAGTACGCATGCGAACTCTTAGGATTCGTGCGTACACCTAGGGACTATGTAAAACCATCGGAAACAGATCCAGTGGTTTTAATAATGGACAATCACACATCTCATTGCTCATTGGAGACGATTTTATTCTCTAGAAGTCATTTTATAACCCTACTAACCCCACCTCCTCATGCAAGCCATAAAATTCAACCCTTAGATAAAGGATTTTTCTTTCCTTTAAAAGAAATGGCAGCCATTTTCCATTTTGCTTATTCAAAAGTCACTACTATAGAAATATGTGAAAAATCATTTGCTTGCACTGGGTTGTTTCATTATAACCCAGACGTTTTTAGTGATTTAGATTTTGCTCCATCTGAGATCCCAGACAGACCACATCTAGAGCTGGTCCAAGAAACTCAATCTGAAATACAAAGAATCGAATCATCTGTTGAAGAGAGTTCATCTGATGACGATTGCACTCTTGCAGAAGTAAGAAATACCATAATAAAAGAAAACTTAAAATTAACAGAAGAAAAACAATCTACGATTCCCGAACCACAAAGTTCAGACGTTACTAAAAGTACAGCTTACTTTAAAGCAGCTTCTAAGGAACTAAGTGAACCAGGTACAAAATGAGCAAACTAGAACACCAAGTCCAAAAAGTCCAGGCTTTACCAAAATTTCGACTTATGTTAAGGCTACGTCTGCGGCACCGATTGATCTAGGTTTAAGTGTTTGTATTACTCCTAAAATGATTTTACCGTTACCAAAAGCTACCCATGAACAAGTAAGAAGAACCAAATCTAAAAAGTCGGAAATTCTGTCATCTACTCCATACAAAGACAGATTATTGGAAGAAAAAGACAGGCGTAAAGAAGATCTAAAGAAAAAGAGCGGAAAAAGAAAAGTTATTAGTGATTTTGGGCAAAATACAGAAATCCAGGAGAAGAAAAAAGTTGACAATGAAAAAGACAATACGATTTGATGCGTGTGAAGTTAGCTCCAAAAAGCTGGCTCCACAATCCTACCGGCCGCTCGATTACAGCGGACCGAATAAATGCTGTCCGCCTGCGATACGCCGTGGCCGTAGCGATACTCATAGAAGCCCGTGACGCGCATACGAGGTGAGCGTGGTAATTATATATATATTCTATCTGTTGCTACGAGTCTTATGCTATTGCGGTATTGCATTAACTGGTTCTGCAGAGTTTGTAGGTTCGTATCTAAAGCTAGTCGTACACCTCAACTCATAACAAACAGTCCTGTAGTGTATTTTTTTTTTCGTGAAAACCTGCAGATGTGCGTCGATGGGATTTTCAGGGTTTAAAGTGCACAACAAGAGCTATTATAATCAGTTATCGTAATGTTGTTACAAACGGTCCTACACCCCAGTTCCAAAGAAAGAAGTCTGTCGGGTACGGTGCGCGATACTCTCTGCAATTTAGGAATTTTTTTTTTTTTCGAGAAAACTTTAGAAGGATATTTTGACATGAGTGCCATATTAGACGAGTGCCAATTACCAAGAAAACGGACAAAAAGAGTTTTGTCGGTATTCTGAAAGAGAAACTATTATAAATATTTATATAGCTTCTCGGGAGCGCTTTCCAAATGAAACTCAGATAGAACATGTAGGCTTTGTTTCAAGAGCATGAGGTTTTTAAAACTTGTTTTCAATTATTTTTATTATTTATTAATGCATGTAAGTTATGATGCAGAAAAGGATGCACGTGGAAGAAGAAAATGTCGAGGAAAGCATCCAAGCCCGAGATGATAAATAGAGGTTCTCCATGCTTTCCACAGATTCTTCGTTTGTTCGTCGTGCATTTTATCCATTGTAAAATATTTCAAGTTATATTGAAGTCAGTCCTGTAAAGTAAAAATAAAATTTTTATAAACCCGAATGGGTTAATATAATATTAATATAAGCAAAATGTATTAATTTGTTTTTAGGAGCGTCAAGTAGCAGTGTATATAAAATGTTGGCAGAGCACAAAAGAAGCAACAATCTTTCTCCTCCCAAAGGTTACCATAGAGCCAGAGTAGTTTGGGACAACGTTTCACAAGAAACTGAGGCAATAATCTGAAGAAAAATCCACTAATTGGACAAAATTTTATCAATAAACGACGACGTCGACTTGCCAGACTTCAAAAGACCGACGTTAGCTACATTGATGAAGCAACTTAATTTTCGGTAAGTTTTGTACAAAAACTTATTTTGTTTTTTATTTCTACTTGAAAGTAAAATACAAAGAGTTGAGACTAGAGTATTCAAATTTTACGTTTTAGGAATAGTCTATGATGCCTAAATACTCTAGTATAACAAGGTTCCCACACCACCCAGGAGGGACTGTTGCGGTGCGTTATCCTTTTTTATTTATATATAATAAATTTGAAATTTGGAATAAATAAGCTGAAAATTTAGCCCTATCTCCACTTTGCTAAATGAATATTTCGAGAGACGTTATGCTTGTTTTTAACTCTCTTTTCTAGATGATATTTATTACAATGCATATGGCTCCTCTTCAGAATCGGCGATTACAAACGATTTTGGGCAAGCCCGATCGTGTAGAAGGCATAACCTGCTGTACTTGCCGAACCGAACCGCCACTATAAAGAAAAGTAACGCGCAGTAACAGTACCTCCTGGGTGGTGTGGAAATCCTGTTGGACTAGGGTATTCAAGTGTCATAAAGTATGCCAAAAACGAGAAATCTGAAAACTCTAGTTTACTACACTATGAGAAAACTATTAACACAAACTGTTTGTCAAAATTTTCAATCCACTGCCTCAGAAGA